ACCATTCACAAGAGTAGAGAAATCTACTATGGTAATTGTTCACTGTTAGAAAACACACTGACATAGTCTCAGAATACGACCTAGAGACAAAGTACAACAGTGAACTCTAGAAAAAGTGAAAAACAATGAACTCAAGAAATGATGAATCCTCAATGTGGCAGTTTCAAATTAATGCACAATAAGTTGCATAAACATTTTCCAATTAATGCACATTAGTAAAACTGGATTTTTTTTCAATGGAGGAAATTGAAGGACTTACAGAAATTCTTCAGGGCAAAAAAAACAAAGGTTCTTAAATTAATTTTTAAACTACCCTATGACATACTCAATACTGCATTCAGTACTACTCTCCAGATTTCAGTAAAATATTCATAGTGGTTTTTTTCTGTAGCAAATTGTAAAACTATAATCAATAATGATAAGGCTAGAGACACTATTATAAATGTACATACTGTTTACTTTAATAAAACAAAGCATTTCCAACTAATATAACAGTGCTTAAATAACTTCGAGGGGCTTGGTAGCAAAGAAGAACTAAAAAAATTTTAGAGGGTGAAAATCTCAACTTTCAGGAATCAACTTAAAAATAGCCCTACAACCTTTGCAGGAGTTTGTTTAGTAGCTGGACATAGATTTTGGTGCAGTATACTTAGCCATTTTTGCTGTAGATTTTGATGCTTGAATGGCTTCAAAGAGAAACTTGTCCAGTAGTAATAAAAAAACTCATAAAATTCCTCCTTCTCTTTCAAGAATCAACATAAAAATAGTCCTATGACATGCACAGGAGTTTTTTAGTAGGTTACCCCAAGTGTGAATAAAATATTCATAGCAGTTTTTTTCTGTAGGCTTGTGAAACAAGAATAATATAAATAATAATAATATGAAGAACAAATGGATAAATTTTGTATAACAATCAGAAAATCAACTTTTTGCTATTATCAATATTTTATCAGACCTAGCCATTGAGATAGAAGGTTTTTAATGTTGTTTCAAAAACAAGTCTGCTTTTTAAGATGGTTTTCGCCCATATGTTCTATTAGAGTTTT